AACAAATTTGAAAGTTGTGCAGGGGGAGGGGGGTGGACGCAAAGCCGGGCTAGCGTAAACGTAGAAATCGCCACTGATTTGGCTATTGTCTCTCTCTCCTTGACAGCAAGTCATGGTGGCTCGGCGAGGTGCTAGCGAACCCAGGGTTTCGGGGATACAAGAAGTCAGACAGAGAGACATGAATCATTTTTGTGGAAGACTGATCAAGTAATCTGCACAGAGTACATATTTTTTTGTATAAAGCACACAAGATTAATGGCATATTACAGCATTTAATACCAATGATGGATCGCTGTAAAACCAGGTTTCCTTCTGTTAATGGTGAAGGTTGAAAAGAGAGCATCAATAAACCTACGGGTTCCCTTATTTTCATATATTAAAATGAATAAGGGTAAGGGTAAGTGTTTTGGAAATTCTACATTTCACGTCGAACAAATGGTAGTCGTGGGTTCTATTCTTGGTGGGAGTATAAAAGTCTTCTGAACTTGGAATAAGTCATCTTTTCTCATTATTCCAATCGACCAAGTCAATGAGTAGAGATAATCCGTGAAAGATCAATACCAAGAGGTTTGGTCAAGGACCAGCTGGTAGAAAGGATCCATATGAATCTTATGAACCTAAGTTGTTATCCTTGTAAAAAACCTGTTGTTTCTTTCTTTCTTCATTTCATAACAGTTTTAATTACCGTGTGGTTTTTAAATTCAACGTGAATCTAGGTTTATATTCTGTAGGTGTATTATATATTTTAATCTTACAGTTGACAGGTATATTTTGAAGGTAAATACCTGTGTATTTTTTATTTGGATGACATTAAAAGGTGCAGTACGTGGTTCACATAAAATTCAAGGCAAATGCAATTTTAAACAACATTTATATATAATGATAGGTGTTTTTGTTGTTCTTACGTTACCGTTACCATGGGCCTATCAGAATTGACTTCCGCCTGTCATTAACTCCATTTTTTTAAACGCATGTCCAGAACATCTGTCTCTTTTCCAGCCCCTGATAGCTATTAGGACAAATGTCGACTGGTGTAGAGACAAAAATAGGCCCTGTTAAACGGGTACTTTCGGCATCTCCTGCGTGCAAAGTGCAAAGTTCAAAGGTCACGCGATACTAATAAAACGAAAGTTACGCTGATGCCCAACACTGATTTACGGTCATCGTAATGTTAATTTGATATTAACAATTTACATTTTTTATTCGAAAAAAACGCTTGGAGTTGTGGAAAATCACCATTTAACTAACCTACTCCAGCCGACAATAGTCAAAATATCCATCAGAGGCTGAATTAGAGGCAGATGTTTCGGATTAGTCTTGTATCTGCGAATGTCTTCGGAAGTCTTATTACTATTATCAGAAAGGACTATCCCAATCGAAGCCTGAAACGAACGAACATTTAGGTTAGCCAACAAGCAACCATTTCGTTGAGATGAGTGGGTTATTTTGTATGCCATAAACACTATCTGTAAAGTTTTAACGGCAATGTGCTAAATTTGATAAGACTGGAGTGTAAAGAGATTTAAGAGCGTCGTATCTAGAGAACCTAATGTGTATTTTAATTAAGAACATGTGAATATTATGTGTAAGTTTATAATGTCATAATGCCCTTTCTATATTATTTAGTAAATACTTTGAGAACATTTGGTCGGCAAAAAAATACGACGAAAAGATTAAAACGTTTAACAAAAACTGATGATTGTTTGAAATTAATTTCCTTTTCTTCAAATGGTAAATTTGTATTTTTTCAGTGTTTATTAGTCAATGCTTGGATGACTTCACAAAAAGGGAAAATATTTCTTAAGCCATACTGCTTTTTATTGCTTTGATTGAAAATTTGTTTTATTCATATAAAGGTGGAGGTTCGCCATTCGTTTGATCAATCCCACTTTAGTCCCAGAAACCGGAATTTTTTAGCTAAGGTTATCAGTAATAGTGTTCCAACCTCACCGTCGAAATTTGAGTCTTCAAATCCATGTGTGTCCAGAATTGTACGTGTTTGAATGTTGAAATGACGACTCGCCTTTTCTTTAGACTCAATTCTATAAAAGGCACTGGCATAATAGAAAGAGAAATTCCTAGTTATTTTTGATTTGAAGGAATTATGCGATATTCGTACAGTTCTAATACTTCTGAAGACAATTTACATATATTCAAGACTAAAATCAACACTCAAAAATGGCCAATCATGGTCTTTAAAGGAAAAATTTGCGCTAGCTTCAAAAAATAAAAAAAGAATTGTTGAATAGAAATCATGTATATCTTTGTTTACAGATCGATCGACTTTCGCTAACATTGTAAAATCATTCTTGTTTTTTCATCAATGTCAATAGAAAGAGAGTAATTTTTTTTGTACAAACAAAATTAACTTTGCCTGTAGCTATAACATTTAGTTTTAATTTTAACTCTGCTTTTTAATAAATATTTCAAATATGTAACGTAAATCATCACAAACTGCCAAATTTCGCCAAATTTAAAAGATTGCAGTGATTTTTTCCAATTTTTTTTTATGTGTATCGGGGTCATAATGGCTTTTATTTGCATCACAGCAATTTTTCTCAAATGTTTGTGGTTTCTCTTATTATATATGCTTTACTGTATATGAGGTCCTATATTGCTATTTAATTATTAAAATCTTTTGCGATCATTTCAACGCTTAGTTTTTGATTGGAAATAGGAATCGTCCAAATTGATGCTGTCAGTGTCCCCAATACACATAAACTGTTTAACCCCTTTTCAATCTTTTTAATCGATGAACTTTACTCCTATGCAAAGCGATCAGTACCTGGCCTAAGGTAGCACAACGGGGTCAAAATTCTAAAATGAACGAAATATGTGACCGATGTTTCAAAGGTTAAATAACTCACTGGCTCGAACGCCTTTGAGAAATCATGACAATCCCAAGGAAGGATCGAGTGCACCAGAATACAAAAGCCCACTTTAATGAATATTCTTCATTATGTCATTCAAACAATGGGAGTTTAAAGCAGCAGTATCTGCAATAAAATGACGTCACCAAAATTACGAGAAATAATGATCACGAATAATTATCTCTTCGCACGAACAGGTAATCGATAAACTTTTGGTCAGACTTAAACAACCTTTGGCAATTATTCCATCTAGTTGCCAAGTCTTCGAATCATTAACAAATGCAGAAATCATGTGAAAACATGTTGTTCTTACAATGTCATGAATCAGAAAAAAGATCGATTGACTCTTTAATGAAAAGCATAAAAAATTCACACCATTTCCGCTCTTGGAAATTTTCTTTAACGAAGTTTTTGATTTATTATTATTTCATATTTCATTTATTATAAAGTATATTGTTCACCCTTAAGTTATATTTATAATGAAATTTCCAGACTACCGTCTTTTGATTGGAAATGACATTGATGGACTATTCAACAATATTGTATCGATCTTGAAATTGGCTCTTTCATCAATCTGACGATTACATGGCAGATTTTATTTACAATCAATGCAAGCTAAACAGACTGTTAAAGGGACATGTCCCCTTAAATTTATACGTCATTAGAATTTGATCTCAAGTTTGGAGACTTTTGATTGAATGTGTATAGGGATAGCCTCTATAATCGAGTCCAACTTCGTCTACGCACAGCCGCGACATATTTTGTCAGAGATAGGAGACGTTCGTGTGTCAGAGACTACTAAGATAGGTCTTGAAAATTGCGACTTAACTCGGCTACTTTCAAATTTTACATTGCCACATTGTTTTTTGGCAAGTGTGGCTGTCCTCCAAGGAAATGTAACCCTTAAAGAAAACTTAATGCCACTCTGCGACTGGATTTTTCCCCTTTTAGAGAGTCTAGATAGATAAGAAGGTTTTTTCTTTCTTTTTTTGATCTTGAAAATCTTATGAGTTGTTGTAACTTTAAAACGGATCTTATTGCAATGCTCAACCAAGGCGAGGTATTTCCTTTAAAGTTGTCTTTAAGTTAACTAAGTGATAACACCCCTTTAAATGATTTCGTAATGCTCTCACGTAGTTGAGTTGCAATATTAGAACTATTCATCATAGAGGGCACTGCGTTCTAAAAAAATATTTTTATTGTTTTATTAGAAGGAAGACATCCTTGGAATTTCAGTGTGAAAAACCGAGTAAGATTTATCTTGAAGAAGGGTGTTTGGAATTTTCCAAATATACAGGCTAAAGATCGTAGAGATACTTCATTTAGCAGTTAGAAGAGCAGTTATCTCGTGGTCGTTATGGTCCAGATAGTTTTCATCTAAAATCTTAAGTGAAAAAAGTTAATAGAAATGATACATTTACCCCCCCCCCCTCCCTAATTTTTACAGATATATTTTCATTGATATTTTCATCGTTTAATGTTCCAGGTTAGTTTGCTAACAGAATAAATTCCTAAAGCTTTTGAATACTTACAGGGACAGTTGCACCTTTTTATTGGGAGGGAGGGGGGGGGGGGTGATTTGAGTGTTGACCATATGGAAATAGTCTTCAGAAGTACTTAAATGTAAGAAAATGGCATGGTTCCTTTAAAGATACCTCAATCTAGGAATTTTACTCACTATATATCACAAATTAGTATCTTAAAAAGACGAGTCGTCATTTTAACATTCAAACGCGGTTAATTCTGGACATATATTGATTTGAAGGCTCAAATTTCGACGATGAGTTGTGAACACTATTACTGATTGGCTTAGATAAAAAAAAAAATCCCTTTTCTGAGACTAATTTACGATTGGTCAAAAATGGCTTAACTGTTGCTTTAAATTTCTGAATTATTAACATGTTAACATGAGCGCTTAAGGGGTTTGGCGCCAGTGCGAACAAGTTTAAACAACCCCTGAGTAAACAACATGTTAACCTAACATAACCAAGGAGGATGCATGTAAGATGTATTAGTACACGCGCAAGGTTAAGATATAAGAATTACGATGTGTTATTTTAGTCCTAAAGCCCACTGCGAGATAATTCCTAACTATTTACTTTACTAGCAGACCGACATTGGCTGTTTACATGAAACTCGTGCTCTATTTTTGAAGTAGTAAACATTTTAGATAAGTTTGGTGGTATCTGCTAAAATTCTATCATGGCACAGGATTGATAAGATATAGTTTAGGAGAAAGTGCTGGAAAGGCAGGTAAGCACTAAATTCTAAGGCTTTTAGGTTTTCTTCTTCTACTTTATATGAAGATCGGGGACAAGTTCATATCACAAACTAGGTAGTTGTTGGTAGTCGTAGTAGTTGCTTGATGGATATGGACCAATATAAAAAAAAGTGTTTGGGAGATAACAACAGAAGCTGATATCACAGACTAGGTAGTTGTTGGTAGTCGTAGTAGTTGCTTGATGGATCTGGACCAATATTAAAATAGTGTTTGGAAGATAACAACAGAAGCTGATATCACAGACTAGATAGTTGTTGGTAGTCGTAGTAGTTGCTTGATGGATATGGACCAATATAAAAAAAAGTGTTTGGGAGATAACAACAGAAGCTGATATCACAGACTAGGTAGTTGTTGGTAGTCGTAGTAGTTGCTTGATGGATCTGGACCAATATTAAAATAGTGTTTGGAAGATAACACCAGAAGCTGATATCACTAACTAGGTAGTTGTTGGTAGTCGTAGTTAGTAGATGGATCAGTAACAACTAGATGGTTGGTACTGTTTATTTGGTAGTTCAGAAATTTCCCGATCTGGCCGTGAAACTTGACCCTTGGTATTCGGGCGTGAGTTACTCGATTCATTCCTCCATAGCTAGTTCTGATCATGGAAATTCTTTGAGTATGGTAGTCTAATGGTAGACTCAAAAATTAGTTCCAAACTTGCCATTCTTGCTTATCTGTGTCAATTTCGGTTAGAAGTCTGGAATATTATATGACTTTGCTTGGTTACATCGACCAAATGGTGATCGTGGGTTCTCATCTCGGTCGGCGTGTGAAAAGTCATCTTTTCTCATTATTCCAGTCGTCCCAGCTGTAAATGGCTACGGATAATTAGGTAAAGATCATGCCAACAAGTTTGGACATGGACAAGCTGGCAGAAAGGATGTTCGTGAACCCAAGTTAACATTCTTGTGATGGGAAGGTTGTTTTTTTCTTTGAGCTTTGATATTGATAGATTTTTAATCTTTAGCGGAAATCAAACAATTTATAGACGGCCGGATGCCGTACTTGGTCTTAGTGTTTGCTATTGTCTATAGTTAAAATTTTGTTTCTTTTATTCTGATATTTGTCGTCTCCATTGTAATCTAACAAGTTTTCTAGTACAATGATGTTCTAATAGTCAAGTCATTCTGTGGTTATACCTGAAAACAAATTGTAATTTTTTTTGGGGAAATTCGTTAGGGAAATTACATATTAGAAACAACTCCTAATGACATGACACGCTTTAATTTGTAAAATTTACGTCATTAGAACGTGACTGTGGTAAAAACTTGTTTGATTACAAAGAACTCAAAAAAAGCAGAAAAAGATAGACATGACACGCTTTAATTGGTAAAAAATAACGTCATTAGAACGGGACTATGGTAGAAAACTTGTTTAAAAAATAAAAGAATTAAAAAATAGCAAAAAATGATATGACACGCTTTAATCGGTAAAAATAACGTCATTAGAACGGAACCTTGTTAAAAAAACATGATAGATTACATTGGAGACAACAAATATCAGAAAAAAACGAAACGAAATTGTAACTAGTTCGATTCGCACCTTTATTCAGAAGATACAAAAGTAGAGAAAATTCAGATTTAACAATAAAAAATATTTCATTCAAGTATGTATAAGTACTTCTCGAGAAAAACTCACATAGAATGTTGAAAATGCTTGACCTTAGCTACACAAATAGAGAGTTATAGACTGTATATATTTTCAAATATATTTTCTATATAGACCATAGTCGTTTTGTTTATATACAGAAGTGAGACATAGAAAGGAATTTGTCAACTCTATAACCATATTGACGAGGGCTGACCGCAAAGTTTGTTAATAACATACAACAAGTTATGCCAGCAGTGGCGGAGCCAAAGGCGGGGGAGGGGAGGGGGCTGAGGGGGGTCCACCCTCGCAGCCTCGAAAGCAAGTTTTTTCGGACAAAAATCTTGTAACTAGGTTAGAGATTCGGGAAATCTCATATATTTCTCAGTAGCACATAGAACTCATTTTCTTTTCATAACGTTTCAATCATCCCTTGTATCCTAAGTGAAAAATCACTCTCGCACACTTTCTCTCATTGTACACTGCTCAGTGTTACGAAGCACAGTAAATAAAACTCGTAACATTTCATAACGTTTCAATCAGCCCTCATATTTTAAGTGGAAAACCATTCTGTATTTGTTGATATTGCAGTAGGCCTTGAGGTCTTATAATGATTTATTTAATACAGCCTGTTTTAATTTTATTTAATCCCAACCATATGGTTCACCGGCATTCATTATACAGGTATTTAATATGTGTCGTTATTGGATTGTAAGAAAGAAGTTTTATTGAATAAAGTTAAAGGATTATGCGATTTTGTTGTGTGTTGAGCGAGTATTATTGTTCGAGATATTCATTTTTGGAACTGTAGAAGTTGGGTATAACGTAACGTAAGGTTGTCTTGTGTGCTGACGACACATGTAATTTGTGTTGAAACGTTACGTGTTTAATATCAAAGATGTGTGCATATTCCATAATATTGTCTTGTGGTTGTGAATTGGGATTTGTAAAAAATTAAGCATTTATAATCTACTTTGTAAAAAACGATTTAGCGATCAAGAGTTTGTATGTGTAACGGGGAATCTATTAGCTACTACATGTATTTGGGCCATTCCTATTGTCCGTTTGCCTTAGTTGTTTCCTAATTGTTGAAAAACTATAATCGTAGGAAAGCTTTGCCACCATTTAATGCAGTTCACTTATTTTGTTTTTAAAGTTTTAAATTTTATACCTGCGATGCATTTAATCGTAATTTGTATTTTGATAAATGACAGGGAAGCCAGAAAATACTTACTAAATTAATTCAAATTCTTTTCTTTTTCAGGAGCGTAGTAAATTTCGGATAGTTATTTCGCCATTTTAAAAACCAAGAACAAATACTACCAGACCTTACAAATTTTTTTTATGAAAATGTAGTTGACGTTCTTGTGTAACAACAGTGCTTCTTAAAGAAGACAACCTTTCAATTTCGTGATTACGCGTTCGATACGGAAAAGGCATGACCTTGGAGAGATTTCCGAACTTCCAGCGAAATTCTCATTCATAATTAAAGAAAATAGTGTTTAAAGTGATTATCAATATATGTGTGTCTATATAACTAGACTCTAACAACCAGGCATTTCTGATTGTGTCAACTCCCATTGCGTGACAAAATGGCTCTCACGGGACAACGTTAAGACTCTGTCTTGAATCCGAAGGTGAATTCTAAGTCAACAATATGTCCATTCGATTCAACTATTGTAAAATGTTACGGAAGCATCACGCATTGCAGTGGTTGATGTTTGTAATAGCATTGTTTGCAGTGTTTCAGATTTTTACAACGTTGCGACAAGAACCTATCGTAGAGAAAGCAGATACTAAGCTCACTGGAAGAGTACCGAAAGCCTTTCATGCGGCCGAGGACACCGAGATGTCGAAATCCTTTTCCGAAGATTGGCCGAATGTTACTTATTTACAGATGGAAATCGAACAATATTTAGCCCAAACTAAGGAATTTGATTTCAAATTTCCCTGGAATTTTCAGCTACGTGATAACAGGGACAAATCGTGTATTGTTCAATATTCCAATTATTCTGCGATTCCTGCAAATTCTGTCAGCATTATAATGGCAATCGGTAATGCTCCTCTGACACAAGTGCTTAGCTCTGTGATGTATGTTCTGTTCAACACACCAAAATCTTTAGTGCAGAATATTTTTGTCGTTGGTGACACAAGAATAAGTGAAAGTGACTTTGAAATTCTAGAAAACGTTCTGATTCCGGTGCCATTTTTCAGGACGTTTCGACTAAATAATATAACCTCAGATTTAGCTGCTGCATACTTCGCGTCCAAATTCACGAAAGCGCCGTATCTAGTCATGATGAACGCTCGAGTGATTGTGTCAAGTGCGTGGTTGGAACCGCTGGTCTTCCAATTAAAACAACATTTTAGAAACGTCGTGGTTCCAAGTGTGATTTTCAAACTTAACGAAACTCAGAATGAGAGCGATTGGTCATTTTCGTTAAGAAGGGAGCTTGATTTTGATTTGGATCTCCACTGGGGTCACAAAGTGTTAAATCGAAACAAAGTAACTCGGACCCCAACCGTTTATGAACATCTATTTTTAGTCAGTGCCAAATTCTTTAAAGAAATTGGAGGATTTGATAGTGTTCGGGGAGCAGCTGGTGCAGAAGCTGTACTTTGGAGTATCAAGACGTATTTATGTCGCGGTCAAGTAATAATCTCGCCGTGCTCTAGAGTTTATGAAAGTCCTTTGATAAATAATTCAAATAAACGATTAGATATAACAAAAATTACAAACTATAAGATGTACATTGCTCGAGCGTTTATGGGTACGGATCAGGCCAGCTACATGTGTCTTGCGCCTGTGTTCAATAGAGGTTCAGCCGCAAGAGGTGGTGGAATTCGTCGCAGTCGGTCGTCATCTACCATATACTTTTCAAACAGAGCTCGCAATTTTTATCAGCAATCACTCAAGTGCTCAAGTTTCAGAACTTTTCTAACCATCGCGCAGCCGGGACTGGTGATTCGGCCCAAAGCCACCGAATATTTCGGCAAATTAAAAGCTAAAAGTTTGGATTTGTATTTATCCACAGACAGAAAACGTGAAAAAATAGTTTTAGTTGGAAATGACACTCAAATGGGAAGAGAATTTCGTTTCGATGCTTCGCATTTTATGTTTGGCAATAAATGCATAGATGTTAAAAACAACGAACTCGTTTTAACCTACTGTGGTAATTTGCCGAACACAAACTTGTGGACCTATCAGTATAATCGTTTAATGTATAAAAACAGAAAGTGTTTAACGCACCAGCCAGACTCTAAGGGAAACACTAAAGGTACATTAAAAATGATGCCGTGCACAAACAATTACACAAAACAGAACCAGTTTGTATTTTCGTTGCAATATGCTAAATCGTGTCTTTAGCAATGGTATTCTTTAAAATGTATATTTTAATCATGTTGAGTTGTTTTCCCTTTATACCAGTACCCTAAAGGATATTGCGATGTATTTAGTGTCTTGTTGTCCTAGGGGGTTCGGGTTAATCTTGCTACTGACAGAGAGCAACTGAAATTTCAACGACGACAGAACCATCGCAGTTGCCATCAATTGCCCGTGCTCTACTTTCTATAAGTGGTCGAATCTGCGACCATCCAGTTAGTTGATTGAAGTCGCATTTCGCTTTGATGTGATGCGCGAAATCGCCGGTGGACATGAGAGCTCAGTCAGTGTTTATATCAATTTTCATGAACATTGGGTTGGTGAATCATCATCTAAAAATCCTTATAAATATGGCTAATTTTGGCGTACTAGTCATGTGATTTCAAGCGCTTTAACCTACTGGGCTGCAGCAATCCTCATATATTTGTAATCTTGGGTGGTTTACAAAGTTACCATACTGAACACATCAACGTTGATGGAATGTCTGGAACATGTTTTACGAGGGGTGTAAGAAAAGTTTATAAACTCGCTTTATTAATGGTAAATTAAAAAAACTTGAAGTAAACTAAAATCGTTATCTTGGGGTTTCATCGATTGGTGATCAGGTACCCGCACTATGTGGAGAGTCGAACATGAAGAAATATGACCGCAATCAATGCCTTCATATGGTTAAGAGTGCCACCAACGCCTAAACTCGATCAAATTCGATGTCAACTCTCACGCACTGATGATTACGTCAGTTCTCCATTCCGACACAGTGGTTCAATCGGATATACCCTTGGTGGTTGCATGCTTCGGCTCACTATTTCGCGTGAATGCACCAAGAGAGCTATCGATTTAAATTTTTCATATCTTCCTCATTGATTTAGTCGCCTCATTAACTTCGGTTTTTAAAATTTTAATGTCGTATGTTTGTGTGTGATACCGACGGATTTCGTCGACGGGCAACGCTATAACAGCGGCATTAGCCTGCTCTTTTTCGAAACATGTGTCGACAGTACGAGAAGGGCTTTACTCAGTTCCAATGCATAAATGACTAACTTCGATACCCAAAACTTCTAACTTAAAACCTTTTGACCACCCATCTTATTCAGAAACCAATATACCACTAAAATTGGTCTAACTAATATCACGTGGTGGAAAGCTTGTCGGTTAGTAATTGATAGTATAATGTGACATTTTTTACTCGAATTTTAAGTAAATTGTTTTGGTTTCTTATTTCATGGGTAGACGGAAAATATTGTTTTAGAATTTAGCCCCTTGGCATTGACCTACAAATTAAGTACACGTAGTTCATGATACCAAAAATAAGGTGTTTTTTTTCAACCGCAAAGCAGCCTGTAGTAACACGCACGTTTAACCATCTATGTAAAACACGGCGTAAAATATAAATATTTAAAAATGTACAATATCGTGACAAGACCTATAAAAAATCAAATAGCATAGAAATAATACAAATGTGTAGTGTGCAATAAGTGAAATTTTACCAAGCATCAGAGCATGTAGCAGCTATTGTAAAACATATTGTGAGGTTTAAATTTTTGAAAATGTACGATATCGTGATATGACACACATTTAACCATGCTTGTAGAGCTATTTGAAAATATACGATATCGTGACAAGACCCCTTTCTTCTTTAAACATGCTTGTAAAATAAGCACTGAAGTATAGATAATTAGAATATACGATATCGTCAAAAGACTACAAATGTAGTGTACAATGAGAGAAATGTACGATATCGTGACAAGACCTAACTAAAAATCAAACAGCATAGAAAAACTACAAAAGGATTGTGCAATGAGGGAAAATTTACATGTATTTATCACATGTATCTGTATTACATGTTGTAAATATTTGAAAATGTACCATATCGTGACAAAACCAACTAAAAATCAAACAGCATAGAAACACTCCAAATATAGTGTGCAATGAGGGAAAAATTTCACGACCCTTTGCATTTTAACCATGCTTGTAGAACAAGGCGTGAAGTATAAATATTTGAAAATGTACGATATCGTGACAAGAGGCCACAGACATAAAAGAGATCAGAAAAAATGACAAGAAATGTAGTAAAGAATGAGACGAATGTATTATTTATAATTGATGATGACAAAAATCTAATTTAGAGGCTTTAATCAATACAAATCATTAATTAAAATAAAGTCGGAAAAACTTGTTCAAAACACGCGATCTGATCCGTAAAAAACTAATCTAAGCTTGGTCGTCAGATTTCCCATAACGCTTGATGATCTTATCTACATATTCCCTAGCAATCTGGCTAGTGATATTGCTAATGCTCAGTTCAATATAACTCGGTGATGTCAGTGAAAATCAGTTGTTGTTAGTGATGTTGATAATGTTCAGTTCAATATAACTCAGTGATGTCAATGGAAATCAGTAATTGTAAGTGATGTTGATAAATGCCAAGATCAATATAACTCAGTGATGTCGGTGAAAATCAGTTGTTGTTAGTGATGTTGATAATGTTCAGTTCAATATAACTCAGTGATGTCAATGGAAATCAGTAATTGTAGCTTGGTCGTCAGATTTCCCATAACGCTTGATGATCTTATCTACATATTCCCTAGCAATCTGGCTAGTGATATTGCTAATGCTCAGTTCAATATAACTCGGTGATGTCAGTGAAAATCAGTTGTTGTTAGTGATGTTGATAATGTTCAGTTCAATATAACTCAGTGATGTCAATGGAAATCAGTAATTGTAAGTGATGTTGATAAATGCCAAGATCAATATAACTCAGTGATGTCGGTGAAAATCAGTTGTTGTTAGTGATGTTGATAATGTTCAGTTCAATATAACTCAGTGATGTCAATGGAAATCAGTAATTGTAGCTTGGTCGTCAGATTTCCCATAACGCTTGATGATCTTATCTACATATTCCCTAGCAATCTGGCTAGTGATATTGCTAATGCTCAGTTCAATATAACTCGGTGATGTCAATGGAAATCAGTTGTTGTTAGTGATATTGATAATGTTTAGTTCAATATAACTCGGTGATGTCAGTGAAAATCAGTTGTTGTTAGTGATGTTAATAATGTTCAGTTCAATATAACTCGGTGATGTCAAATGAAATCAGTTTGTGATGTTGATAATGTTCAGTTCAATATAACTCGGTGATGACAATGGAAATCAGTAATTGTAAGTGATGTTGATAAATGCCAAGATCAATATAACTCAGTGATGTCAGTGAAAATCAGTTGTTGTTAGTGATGTTGATAATGTTCAGTTCAATATAACTCGGTGATGTCAATTGAAATCAGTTTGTGATGTTGATAATGTTCAGTTCAATATAACTCGGTGATGACAATGAAAACAATTGTTGTTAGTGATGTTAATAAATGCTCAGATCAATATAACTCAGTGATGACAATGGAAATCAGTTGTGGTTAGTGATATTGATAATGTTCAGTTCAATGTAACTCAGTGATGTCAAAGGAAATCAGTAACTGTAAGTGATGTTGATAAATGCCAAGATCAATATAACTCAGTGATGTCAGTGAAAATCAGTTGTTGTTAGTGATGTTGATAATGTTCAGTTCAATATAACTCGGTGATGACAATCAAAACAGTTGTTGTTAGTGATGTTGATATATGCCCAGATCAATATAACAGAGTGATGACAATGGAAATCAGTTGTTGTAAGTGATATTGATAATGTTGAAGTCAATATAACTCAGTGATGACAATGGAAATCAGTAATTGTAAGTGATGTTGATAAATGCCAAGATCAATATAACTCAGTGATGTCAATGGAAATCGGTTGTTGTTGGTGATGTTGATAATGTTCATTTCAATATAACTCAGTGATGTCAATGAAAATCAGTGATCTTGATAATGTTCAGTTCAATATAACTCGGTGATGTCAATTGAAATCAGTTTGTTATGTTGATAATGTTCAGTTCAATATAACTCGGTGATGACAATGAAAACAGTTGTTGTTAGTGATGTTGATAAATGCCTAGATCAATATAACTCAGAGATGACAATGGAAATCAGTTGTTGTAAGTGATATTGATAATCTTCAAGTCAATATAACTCAGTGATGTCAATGGAAATCAGTAGTTGTAAGTGATGTTGATAAATGTCCAGATCAATATAACTCGGTGATGTCAATGGGAATTAGTTGTTGTTAGTGATGTTGATAATGCTCAGATCAATATAACTCAGTGATGTCAATGGAAATCTAATTATGGAAAGAGTTGGTGATTTGGTCAGTATCGTCATTCGTAGCATTCATTCTTCTAGCAGGCTGAAATATGACAAGGGAGACAACTACTTATAAGTAGTATATTGCATTTGCCAGTGGTATTTGATTCACCTTTGAAAAAATGAAATGAATGGAGTTTTACGTCCTACTTGATTCACCTTTGAAAAAATGCCTTCAAGTCTCATAGGCGTGCGAGCCGAAGGCCTGTTGGGTGGCCAGACAGGCTTGCCCGAAAATTTTCTTCGGGTTTTCTTTCAGAACTCAATTGTTTCATGAGCATCACCCGAAAACACTACTTGTCTGCTCAGGGTTTTCGTTTTGTAAACTCTTTTGAGTCCGGACATGTTACAAGCAGAATTAAAATCTCTGTTGATGTCGAGTTCTCTTGCTACCATTAGATCACAAGGCAGCTGAGCAGCATAGTAATCCGCCATTGGCTCTTCACCGATAAAGGCGTAATTTTCTGTCCTCACTTTCTGAAGAGCTTCCTCACAAAAATTGATAAAATTATCATCGGATTTGTTCATTTTTGCATACAAATAGGCTGCTGTAATGCAATTACTATACAAGTTACGTTCAGTGAGGTTCTGCTTCACTTCACTTACCAATGAAATAATCGCTACTCTACTGTGGTAGTCCAAGGTTAAAACCTCTGTTAACATTCTTAGATCTAGAGACTTTGAATACGTCATCCTTCCTCCAGTCAAAGGTGGACAAGGTCATCACACACATTTACGTTAGTCTTGTTCTGTTTTTTTGTTGTCTCACGAGCAATGCGGTTACACTGCGGTGGCTATACAAAAACCAGCCTTACGTACTCAATTTACCAATAAAGATACGACTCGATAATGCGGACAATCAGCAGCCTGAAAAGAACAAAAATATACAGATCAAGGGACATATTCAATATTGACAGGAACTTTCCTTAATTGTACCAGAGGAACCGCGGTGGCTAAGTGAGTTGAGATTCAAACCCGGCATAGGTCGAGATAATACCTACGGATTTTTCACCCCCCTATGCAGGTAATAGGGCTGACATGGAAAAAGCGACTAGTAGTTCAGCTGGGACAATAAACCCACAGACTGTGCACGTTAAAGATCCCTCGACAGTTGGAAATGGAAAACGAGCAGGATTATGCCACTGGCCTAGCAAAATTTCCCTCATTACACACTGCATGGCGTTGCTCGCCTTCATTAGCCCGCATAGTGCAGAATAGGACGACGAATAACTACGTTCATTTCATTTCCCCCTACTGTTAACAAATTGTTTAGATTTTCATCTGTACGCTTTTTGTCACTTTTTTAAAGGTCAAAGTTCGACATACCATTTTAAATGTCTAAATACATCCGCAATTTTAGTAATGTTTGTCAAAAAACAATACATCAAATTACACAAACAATTACTTAAAGGACGATTTTCGACAAGTTTCAGTGTGTTCTCGGGTGGTATTCAATTTAAAGATGGATTCCCTTTTATGTAAATGAAATTACTAATACTTACATGAATAGAAAGTAGAGATGTTCTAATGCCTTGGAAACATACACGTTTGTCTCACATGTCCTTAATTAATTTATAATTAGCTAAATTAGAAGAGAATTACCAGCATAATTCCATTGAGTTTTTTGTTTATCCAGACTGTACATACATGGGCATTTATGGTTGGTTAAAACTCTTAATTATATGCAATAAGAACATAATGATATGATTAAGAATATATGATAATTCATAAGAAACACCAATTAATCAAATAATTTGCATAATTCAACAACAAGAAAATAAGGAAACCCATCTTTAAAGACCAAAAATGTATAAATTTTGATGTAAAATCACCATGTGTTCATGTGGTCTCCGTACGACTAAATCGACGAATATTGTCATATGATTGTATACAGTTCTACTGTAATGATATTTCAAGGTCGCATAATGACCGAGGTCGACTTTTGGTAGACAGACATCTAATTATATAGCACTGTTTAGGATGCGTTATGCAATTAGTTAACAATTTCCGGAATCAAAATGAGATGATGGGTTTAGTATTTTGTCGACATGTTTGAGTTGTGTCACTTTCTGTGTGAATATTCTTTGAAAAGTGGCGAAACACAGGATCTCTTCAGAATATTTAAACAAAAAATGCACCAAATATTGACTTCTAATTGCCCTCTTTAAAGTGATACTACGTCTAAGAATGAACATAAAATTCTCAAGAATGGTCAATATGATTCATCAATGAACCTACCTGGTGTCATAAAGTTACAATAGAATCCATGTAAAATCTAGAAAATTGGAAAATTCATATAACTAAGTAACTATTGAAAAACGCTTAATTTTACCATTAAGCGTTTTTCAATAATTAATTGCATTTTTACTAAGATTTTTGGATTTATCGGATTATATAAGGATCCTGTTATGTTATTTATGACACCAGGTATATCTTCTGGCTCTTATTGGCCAAGTTTATAATTTTTAAGTTTTATGTTTATTCTAAGACGTAGTATCATCGACTTTCTAAGACTAACAGCACTATATTTTGAAGCTGGTATTACAATTCTTTCAAAAGCTAGTAGCTTATATGTGGATGAATATAATGAAGATTGTAGACAACAAAAGATCAAGCAATACATGGTATTTAATCAAGGACATACGCTTTAAAGCCCTGGTTCCCAACCTCAGGTGTTGTTAAAACCCCTGGGGGTTTCGGTGTCGGGGTAGTGGACAACTGTTGTAGGAGAAGTTATTTCTGTGTGGATATTATATTGTTCCAAAGAAAACAGCAACAGCCTTCCTACTGAGCATCTTATTGCGGCCGTATGATTATATAGTTCCATTATTATGTCTGATTATAAGATCTATGATTAGTGTTTTTGTTTGTTTTCAATGTTTTGAATGTCCATTATTTTGGGGATGTGAGGGGTTCAAATGATTACTCCAGAGGCTGAAAAGGCTGAAAAAGGTAACTGCTTTAAAAGACATGGAACAGGTTGTAGAGTGCAGTGATTTATCAATTGGGATGAACATGTCGTGTTGTATTTATACATAATGGAGGCTGTGTTTCCTGAACGCAAAGCTTGTTATAGAGTACAGTGACTTAGTCTTTGCAAAATGCACCGCACACGGGCAGACGAGCGAATTTAATCGAACTGGCGTAACAAATCGTCGTCGACTAGAGCGGACAAACTTTTGGGCGATTTTAATATATGCTGCTGCAAATTGGGTAATAAATACGCTCGGTTGCCATAAACTGGTTGAAAACTTTCCAATATGTTGCATTGATAGTCTGACCAATGCTTATTTTCTCCTCGGGATTTGTTTTCGAGTGTCCACCCATTTTCATCCTTTCTCTTCTTTCTTACCTAAATTTCGTTCCACACAACGTCCACAAATGATCTATAATGTAAAAAGGTGCCCGTTTAAGAAAAAATATCTGAAATGCAGTTTGTCCTACTTTCTGATCCGGATTGGGATTCGGAAGCTGATTTAGGTTTTGAATAATGTATATGTAAATAGTCTTCAGAAGTACTAGAAATGTACGAAATCGTATAATTCCTTTAAAATTTTCTCAAACTAGGAATTTAACGTTCTATTTCTATATGTCTTTTTCTATATAAGGCATAAGTCTCGAGAAAAGACGACTCGTCTTTGAAGGCTCAAATTGGGTTGCCAGGAGGATTGCAAACACTATTACTGATTAGCTTTGCTAAAACAATTCCCGTTTCTGAGACTGAGGTACTATTGGTCGAACAAATGACACACCTTTCTCTGTAACATGCACAACCTGTAGAATACTAGCAATAGTTTATCCGAAGAACTAGAAAAAACGGAAGTTAACAACATAGTTAACACAAACAGAAAACTATATTTACCAAGCATCAAGTGATATAAATATACATAACATTTCGTAAAAAAACAAACAATAAACACATTTACTTCTATAAAAGATAGCTTGCCAGACAAGGCAACATACGCCCACTTCCAGCTGTCAGAAATTATAACTTATTTTTTATAAAGTAGTTAAATAATGAATTTTATAATAATGTTAAAATTATTTATAAGTCAAGGCAAAACCTCAAAAAGAGTTAATTAACTTATCATCAAATTCAAACATGAACAAGGTCTCATCGACGTACACACAACAGCAATAACTCAGAAACCGCTCATGCGCTTATTACTTATTTCGAACCTGAGATCTCATCAGTATCTACATACATACCAAGTTTCATCAAGATCGGATAAAAACTGTAGTCTCTATTGTGCATACAAGTCATATTTGACGCTTTTCTTACAAAGTCAAGGGCAATAACCGCGAAACTGTTCATCCGATTGTCAATAATTTTAAGCTTTGCTGAGATCTCGTCAATATGTCCATGCATACTAAGTTTCATCAAGATTGGATAAAAACTTTAGTCTCTATCGTGCCCATAGGCCAAATTTGACGCATTGTATTAAGTCAAGGGCAATACCTTCAAAACCATTCATCCAATTATTACACATTTCGAACATGACTGAGATCTTGTCCATTTATTCATGCATACCAAGTTCATCGAGTTCAGATAAAAACTGTACCCTCTATGTGCCTACAAGTCAGATTTGACATGTTTTTACTAAGCCAAGGGCAATAATTCCGAAACCGATCATCCGATTATGACCAAATTCAATCTTGACAGAGATCTCATCAATATATACATGTATACCAAGATTCATCGGATAAAAACTGTAGTCCATACCGTACAGACATGCCAAATTTAACGCGTTTTTACCGAGTCAAGAGCAATATCTCTGAAACCGTTCATCCAATAATTACCAAATTCGAACTTGACCAAGATTCCATCAATATATACATGCATATTAGGTTTCATCAAAATCGGGTAAAAATTGTAGCCTTTATCGTGCATACAAGCCAAATGTAATGCCTTTTTTTAAAGTCAAGGGCAATAACTCTCAAACCGTTTATTACCAATTTCGAACTTGACAGAGATCTAATCAATATATACATGCATACTTAGTTTCATCAAGATCTGATTAAAACTGTAGCCTCTATCGTGCATAAAAGAAATGTGGACGGACGGACAGATGAGACGGCAATATACGTCACATTTCCAACTGGACGTATACAAAAATTGTTGCTAATTTAAATAGCATGGTCCTCATTGTTGAAAAATTCAATTTACTTATTCGTGAAATGAAAGAACAAATTCGAGTTTCTTATGGAAGAAATATCTTCTTAGTTCTTCCTACAAGTTGATAGTTCCAGGATATAAGATACTGGTATTGAACTGGTTCTGATGCCTAGATAATTAAACTGTATATCGTCCATTATAGTATTTACTCCTGATAATGTTGTCTGTCCACTTCCAGGAACCATTCCATCACCCAACACAATTTTATTACCATTCCATTCAATCCAATAGGGTTTAAATTCTTTAGCATTCAGTAACAAAGCTGGGTGTGAAGTCTCATTAACAGCAGACCTCGTATATTCTGTTCTTAACTGAGTATGCTTATTGTTGTATAATCCAAACGTAATTTCGAATATTAATCCATTTATATCCTTGTTTTTGAATAATGCAACTATACCTCTTTGTTCTCCTTTTATCCAGAATACTTTCGAATTCAAACCTCTAATATCAATAAAATTAGAGTACTCATAATCCCATCTATCCAAATTGATGATAGTTGAACTCACGAAGAGAAAACAAACAGTAACAAATAGAATTGAAATCGTATTTTTCATTTTAGATTCACTCTATATAATCACAATAAGGAGAATTAGTCTTAAAGTCTAAAATAAGTGTAGAATCCCTCTAAAAACTCTTTTCCATTCACTAAAATCATACACTCCAATGTGCTAGTCCACTTCTTCCGGTAAAATAATTTAGCTAACTTTATCAAAACCTTTCTTTCAATTGCATCCAAATATTGGAAGCGGTTTATTTCATCATACAAATAGGCCTATAGTAGCACTGCTGTACTCTTTTAAAATAAATCAAAGCATCCTTTTATACTCTTCTTTTAATGAATAAATATTATTAAGCCTATTGTTTTATTCGCGTAAGAATTCGGGCCATCGATTTTAAAATATATTATGTATGCTGCTATCTTCTATAAAGATTAAAGTCTTTGAGTTTATAAAGCTTGAGATATTCCTTTATTTGAAAGAATGTAACTATGATTGTAATAATTATTTAATTCGGGAGAGGAGGCTTTGATGTCTTCCACACACAAAGATTTTCTAAGAAAATACTTAATTACTTATATTTGTACAGTCAATATACACGAATATGAGGCAATTGCAGTTTATGTGCAGAAATTAGGTCATAGACCCATAAGTCGCGTTCAGACTGCCAGAAATTATCATGTTAGTATATAAAACGATGGAGAATTACAAATTGCTACATACATAAGATAAGTTGAAAGTATATTGGTACAAATGGAAGAATGAAGGAATATGAAGTTCTCTGGGAACCGTTTTGAAATTTTGAAAAATTTATGACCTATTTGAAAAACTTCTATTTCGTCATTCATTTATTCGGCAGTGCATCTATCCTAGATATTGTCGCTGTAGTCAAAATTGGAAAGAAAAAAGACATCAATGTTGAAGAGATTATCTATTTAATCTTATTCAAATTTCCACCAAGGGGATAATTAGTTCCACCTAGGTGATAATTTCTGTAATATTTGATTAAAAACTTTCACCTGGGTGAAAAAGGTTTTAAAAATGGGTTCCCTTATTTTCTTTTATGAAAATGAAATTGCTAATACCTATGTATAGAAAGTACGGGTGTTCTAATGACATAGAAAAGTACCAGTTTGTCTAACATGTCCAAAATGATTCCATAATTAGTTAAATAAGTAGAGACTTACGTTTATGGGCATTTAAGAACATAATGATATAATTATTAATTTGACGCTAAAATAGTAAGGAAACCCATTTTAATTCAAAATTTATTTTCACCAGAAGAATTTTTATTTCGAAATAAAAAGTTAAATATTTCGTATGTGAGTCACCATAGCCTACTAGGTTTTGACAAAATCGTAGCAATATGAATATCTCACTGATAGTCTGATTGCCTATGGACAGAAAACTGTTGAATAGGAATATCGTCACGGAAAGATCAGATTTCGTTCAGTGTAAAATGATGGAAATCCGTTTAGTATAAAATGATCGGAATCCGTTTTGTAATAAATGATCGAAATCGATCTAGAATAAAAAGATCGGAATCCGTTTAGTATAAAATGATTGGAATCCGTTTTGTAATAAATGATCGAAATCGGTTTAGTATAAAAAGATCGGAATCCGTTTAGTATGAAATGATCAGAATCCAATTAGTTAAAATAATCGAAATCCGTTTTGTAATAAATGATCGAAATCGGTTTAGTATAAAAAAAGATCGAAATCCGTTTAGTATAAAATTATCAGAAACCGTTTAGTTTAAAAGGATCGAAATCCGTTTTCTATAAAAAGATCAGAATCTGTTTAGTATAAAAAGATTGGAATCTGTTTAGTATACAAGTGATCTGAATCCGTTTAGTATAAAAAAGATCTGAATCCATGTAGTATAAATGATCGGAATTCGTTTAGTTTAAAAAGATCAGAAACCTTTTTGTATAAAAAGATCGGAATCCGTTTGGTATAAAAAAAAAGATCGGAATCCGTTTAGTATAAAAAGATTAGAATCCGTTAATATAAAATGGTCGAAATCCTTTTCGTAAGAAAGATTGGAACCCGTTTAGTGTAAAATGGTCGAAATCTGTTTAGTATAAAAAGATTGGAATCCATTTAGTATAAAATAATAGGAATCCGTTTTGCATACAAGTGATTCCGTTGTAAGCAAGGAAAGACGCCATGATTAATAACTTTCTCTCAAACTTTTGTATCATCGATTTTAAAATTTATTATTTATACCGAGATCTTTTGTTTGAGTAAAAGTTCTGGATGATGACGTTAGCATAAATTATGTAAGATAATGATCAAAATACTAATCCCTGTGGGAAAATCCGGTGACATTTTACTCTGATAGATGGCTTGAAGCTTATGACAAAGAACAGCATGCCGTACTCTGTCAAAAGCGTTGATGATGTCACAGAACACTGCCCTGATATACTGCTCTTGATCTATGGCTTGACAAAAACGTGTTTTTATCGTAATCGTAACCGTAAAATATGTTTCTTTGTATAAACAATACCGCTTGCTTTCGCTTATAGTACCCTCTCCTGCTGAGCGTAAAAATATACATAAGTAAGTAGGCAAAAAATAAAAACATTTACTTTGAAAAAATTTAATTTAGTAAATAGTGAAATGAAAAAAAAAATTCCAGGACGAAATATCTTCTTAGTTCTTCCTACAAGTTGATAGTTCCAGGATATAAGAAACCGGTACTGAACCGGTTCTGATGCCTAGATAATTGAACTGTATATCGTCCGTTTCATTATTTACTCCTGATAATGTTGTCTGTCCACTTCCAGGAACCATTCCATCACCCAACACAATTTTATTACCATTCCATTCAATCCAAAAGGGTTTAAATTCTATAGCATTAAGTAACAGAGCTGGTTGTGAAGTCTCATTAACAAAAGACCCCAAATATTTTGTTCTTATAATCGTACGCCTATTGTGGTTCAATCCAAACCGAATATCGAATATTAATCCATTTATATCCTTGCTTTTGAATAATGCGACTTTACCTCTTCGTTCTCCTTTTATCCAGAATACTTTCGAATTCAAACCTCTAATATCAATAAAATTAGAGTACACATGATCCCCTCTATCCAAATTGATGATAGTTGAAGTCACGAACAGAAAACAAACAGTAACAAATAGAATTGAAATCGTATTTTTCATTTTAGATACACTCTATATAATCACAATAAGAAGAATTAGTCTTAAAGTCTAAAATAAGTTTAGAATCCCTCTAAAAACTCTTTTCCATTCACTAAAATCATACACTCCAATGTGTTAGTCTATTTTTCCCGTAAAATAATTTAGCTAACTTTATCAAAACCTTTCTTTCAATTGCATCCAAATATTGGAAGCGGTTTATTTCATCATACATATAGGCCTATAGTAGCACTGCTGTACTCTTTTAAAATAAATCAAAGCATCTTTGATATACTCTTCTTTTAATGAATAAATATTTTATCTGAGGATATAAAAAAGACATATTTCAGCTGCTGTTTCCAAGCAACTTTGTTTGCAATCTCATGTATATACAGCGCATTGTTTAATTTTCACTATATCAAGAAAAAAGATGAGCTATACCAATAGTTAAAGGGGAAAGTTCGTATTTTTCGATTTTTTTGATTTGAGTCTTGAATACATGTATATGTAAATAGTCTTCAGAAGTACTGGAATGTACGAACATTTCATATTTATTCCTTCAAAAACACCTCAAACTAGGCATTTCACTTTATATATCTGTATACAGTGTATGTCTCAGGAAGAGACGAGTCGTCATTTTAACTTTTTAACGGAGATAATTCTGGACACACATGGATTGGATGGCTCAAAATAATTTCGACAGTGAATTGTTAACACCATTTCTGATTAGCTTAGCCAAAAATATTTCCGTTTCTTAGACTAAGGTATGATTGGTCAAACGGATGGCAAGTCTGTCCCTTTAAATTTCTCAATTAACGTAATAGAAAAAAAATTGACAGTTATGACTCTAATCTACAATTACTGATTTTTACTGATAATAACGTCTCGATGACTTTATATACTTATCATTAGGTATATCATCTATTTTATTCTGGGCGAAATGTCACGGTTATTGCTCAATGCAAGTTTTCTTGTGATTCTATTACATAATATTCAATTATTCATTGATTTATAGTCAATTTTTTTTATGTTATTTTGTAGTTAAATAGAGTGTCCATGATTTATGACAAACCATATTGTGAAACATATTTACTCAGTACCTAAGGGTGCGGGCACAAATCGAAAAATATATTTTTGCCGCCATCTTGGACGCCATATTGGATTTTCGCCATCTTGGATTTTTGGATCAGAATGATTTTGACATAATAGAATTCCTTGACACCGAAAAGCCTATAAAGGTCAGTTTACATGGCATGTATAAGTAGAATCCTCTGATTTTTGGTGAATAAAAATAATTTTGACGCCATTTTTGCCGCCATTTTGAAAATGGCCGATGGCACCCCTAGGGCAACTTTCGACTTCGTTCAAAATTCATATATAAACTTCATACATGAAGTCTCATAAAATATCAAACTTATCTGCAGCTCTGCCAAATAAAGTATTTTCTGTGGCCTTAAGAAAAGCCTTTGTTTAATACTGGAAAAGATTAAAGCAATGAAACCCGAAGGAATTTGTTTGGCAGCTTAAACCAATTAGTGGTTGTGGGCTGTAATGTTGGTCGGCGTGCAAAAGTATGGCGACATTGCGTAAATGTTGGTAACATAATTGATTCTTTGGAATCTTGACATTATTTCCTCAAATAAAGGGTTGAAGTGGCTCAGCTGTGAAAGATTTCCTTTATCGACTTTACCATTTTCACAATATCAAGCTATTGCGGCTTCTACCTTGACTGCAATAGTCACTTTTCTTGTATCACCACAGTTTGTAATAATTTTTGTTATGTAATAATCCTTGCACGTGCATCACATGTTCCAATCTTGTTTGTAACTAGTTATAACTATTATATCATTATTTATATTTGTTACTATACGGAAACACGTTACTATGCGCACTGTGAAATTTACGAAAAATAAAAT